TACTTCAACAAAAGCAAAAACAAATGAGGTTCATCAGTCTGAAATGCTACTACATAGCCCAGAGAACAATCAGCAGTGGACAGAAAAATCTTCAACAATGGCAAAAATATTTGCAAATGATACATCTGATAAAGTATTAATGTCCAAATATACATGTAACTCAACACAAGAATGAGAATGCAAATAACTTCATTTGAAATTAGGCAAAGAGGGCCTGCCAGAGAGCTCAGCCAATTAAAGCACCTGCTTAGGCAGATGCAGGGACCGAGGTTCAGTTCCAGAGATTTCTGATTAAGGGTGGTGACAGGGGATATACTTGTCTTGTTCTTGATTTTAAAGTGAAGGATTTCCTTTTTTTTTTTTTCTATTTAGTATGATGTTGGCTGTTTTGTTTCCTTTTTATGTTGTAATTTTAACATATACATGAGAAGATATATTTAAATGTGTCAAATACCCAAATACAAAATTCATTTTTGTCTCATATACACTTCATATGCATAGCCCTTTTAGCAATTTTATAACATATTTTTAGTGCTTGTATTTTGACTGCGATTTAAGATCAGGTGTAGAATTTTCCACTGTAGTGACATGCTGTCATTCAAAAAGTGTTAGATGTTGAACAAATTAAGATTTTGAGTTTTTGGATTAGGGATTTTATATTATATATATTATATATCAAACATATATCTATATCAAGCAATTCAATAGCAAGAAACAGCATTATATATAGTATATATATATATATATAAAAATTTGATAGTTTAAAATGTACATTATTGTGCTTTGTCTAATTTAAATAGTTTAATATGATTATTTCTGTAGTCATATTTAAAATCACACTATAACTTTGTATGTGTTCTAATTTTATTTTTAATCAGCACAAAAACCCATGAATAATATATAAGCCTAAAGAATATACCTATTTCTACTAAATAATGCAATGAAATTACGTTTAAAATATCAAATGCTATGCTTTCTAGGTATAGGAAGCAATAATATATAAGAAATAAATTTATCTTCATGGAGCTGGTAATCAGCTAGGGATAAAAAGACTTGTTTCTAATAATTCAGTTTTTAAATTATTTATTTATTTATTTATTTATTTATTTATTTATTTGGTGCAAGGTCTTACTACAGAGCTTATACTTATAGTGATCCTCCTGTCTGAGTCTCCCCATAGCTGGGATTATAGGTATGCACCACCACGCCCTGTGTTGGTGGCTGGCACAGCATGCTGGGAACCGGGACCACCATGGCGTGTGGTACCAGGAATCAAATCTGGGTCCTTGCACTCCCCAGGAAGGCGCTTAGACCACTGAACTATATCCTTGGCCCATGCTTCTAATCATTTAGAAATCCAGACTGACATCTTCTCTTTGGTACTGTTTTCTTTTGCTCTTAATCAAAAATCTCAGGATAATGTATCAGTCTACTGTCTTTATTCTGATAGAAGAAAAAAATCTAGACTCTAACACATTTTGTAGAAGACGCAAGTTGATACATTTTATTTAGAATGGACACTCTGGCAAATCCAAACCTAGCTGAGTGTATCTCTCTTATAATGAACTCCTTAAGAAAGAAAACAAATCTTCAAGCACATTGGAAGAAATAAATAACAAAACAAAGCATTTCCTATCCAATACTAATCAGGCCTGACCCTGATGAACTTCTGAGATCCAAATAGATTGGGTACATGTGTAGGCAAATGGAACCTCTGTAGAAATCAGTGTAAATAAGGACCAAAATTTATAATAGATATTGTGAAACAGGAAGGGATTGTTAAAATGGGAAGGGCAATTAGAGAGTGGGGAAGGGGAAAGAAGAACAGAAAATAAAAATGTGAGAGAAAAGGATTAAAAAGAAGGCAGAGTCTAGGAGAAGAGTGGTTGAAAGGAGGGTAGGGAAATGAAAATAAAAAGGAATCAAGATACACCATGCACAGGTGCAAATTCACTGTAATGAATAAGATTATTATAGATATCTAAATTGTATCAACAAACTTAATTTTTAAAAAGGAAATCAAAAGGATGCATTCAATTTCCAAACCAAACACTAGATTCTTAAGCATTAAGAGAAGGAACTAATATCCAAGACAGGTTTAAAACTTGAATATTTTAAGGGCCAGGGAGATAGCTCAGTAAAATAAGTGCTTGCCTGGCAAGCTCAGGGTACTCAGTTCAATCCCTGGTACAGAAAAAAATAAAATCGTGAATATTGACTTTTAAGTAAAGTTAAAATCTTGGAGGAGCTTTTCTGAATAATGACAATGATAAAAATACACACCTAGAATTCTTACTGTGTGTCAGGCATTGTTTTACATATACAAGCTCATTTAACTGTCCAAATAACCAGTGAAAAGGGGTACATTTATCCCCAATTCACAAGTGCAAAAAAGGTCAGGGGAAAATTGAGTAACAAATCCACAAAAACACAGTGGGAGAGCTACTTTTTTTTTCTATATTTTAGGGAATAGTCTACAGGGTGTTCAAGGTCTCACTACTAGATCAAACTTGTAGTGACCTGTCTGTTAACAGCCTTCCAAGAGCTGAAATTACAGGCATGTGCCACCACCTCAATTGCTATCTCAGCACACCAAGGGGGCAGGGCCAGCATGGTAGGCCCTGGGATGAGACAGACACATCTTTATTTATTTTTAAAAAACAGGGGACATGACCCTAGCTCAGGCCTTTAAGTGGCTGCTTCCACAAAGCTCTCAGCCTCAGGTTGCTGGAGTTCGAACCTCACAACTCTCCCGCTGG